GGTCACATTCATTGGTTAAAACGGAACTTTGTGAGATCGTGATGAATGAGTGACAGTTTTTAATAAATTTAAAGGAAGCGCTCTTTCCATGCTGTATACGATAATATATTCAGAATTTCAATAAAACGTGTTTTTCATGCTTGACAAGCGGCCACGTAGCTACGACAGAGATTGTTAACTACACTATATAGAAAAATATAATAGCCTAATTTCAGAAGCACAAAGTGATGTGATTCTGCAACCGAGCCTGGTCCAAACGCAGGATTTAGGTAAGGAAACGGTTATTAATTATTTGTATTGGCTGCCATGCCAAATCATGCACCTGCTTGCTTTTCTGTTTAATTTAAGTGTTTTTGTGAACGTATATACTTTAATAACAAATAATTGTAACATTTTACAATAAGTTTCCATTAGTTCATGTATTAAAGTGTTAGTTAATTATTGTAAAGTGTTACCCAAATAATGTAATTTGAGCGTTCACTTGAAACTCCATTAGTGAGCAAGTGATGTAATGCTACATTTTTCCATATCTGTTCTAATGAAGAAAAAAACTCATCTACATGGATGACCTGAGGGTGAGTACATTTTAAGCAAATTTTCATTTTTGTGTGAGCTATTACTTTAAATTCAACAAACCAACTAACCTCTAATTAACAGAACTGTAAAGAAATGTTGTAAACTGAGCTTCAAGGGTGTATGTTTTCTTTTAAATCTCTAGCTGTGCCTTGTATAATATTCCACCATGTACTCATTTAGGCTATATAACGTAATCATTGACATGCTTTGACACACAAAATTAGATTGATCGAAATTATTCACTTAATTGGCTTGTTAATTTGCGGGAAAACACGTAATTTTTGGTTTTCGACTGCTGTCTTGTAATTCATCCCACCCTTAAGCATTATTATTTGAAAACAGTTAATCAGGATCCTGCTAAGAGGCGCAGCAGGAACCCAGCGTAGACTTTTCTATCATTCCAGAATGTACCATCTGATGCGCATCCCCCTCTCCTCCCCCGCGCACTGGAGCGGTCGAGCCCACCCCGTTTTAAGCGCGCGCCATGGTTCAGTCCAGACCAGAACATCATGGCGATAGATGGTAAGTAGGCCAATACCGCTCTCCTGCTCTCTCAAACTCACTTCTCTTTCCAAAGCCCCTCGCTTAGCTGTACGTGAAGTGGTTAAATGTGACTATTTCCCCACTGGCTGTGGCATAGAGTGTTTCTGTGTTAAAGGGACGTTGGTGGTAAAGTTTGTGTGTTGTAGTGTGGACTGAAGTGATTGTGGTGCTGAAAGAACAGCTCCCGCGCTGCCGACTCCCTCAACTGGCGTCTCCGTTACTTTCACTGACTATTTGATGGTTTCTTCCACTACAGTGCGAGAGAACTGGCTGACTGCGCTGTCAGCAGGTGCATGTCGCTTCATTGAGGAAATCCGGTGGTTTCACTTTTCCGTTTGGGAGTGTGCCGCCGTCTGTGATGTAACTCGGGGATAGTATAGAAATCGAGGCTCTTTTAAAAGCCAGTGTTCAGTCTTTGTGTATTATTTTGAGACACTCATACAGGTTGCGCGAGGTCTATTTAACGTTAGCGGAGATTTGCTTGTTAAAGGATTGCGTTGCTCTCTAATCTTTGCTCTTAAGCACTGATGTCTGTTCGCATGTTATTTGTTCGTTTCATTGCGTTAACTGTTTGCTATTTCTGTTTTTGAACTGGCTTCACATCGAGAAGATACAAATTTGAATTGTTTTTGAATGTATGCAGTTTATATTGTATGTAGGTGGTGTGTATATCAGTTGGCTCAAGTTTATCAATATGTTATTTTGTATGTTATTTCTCACTGTGTGACTGGATTATGATTGTGTTTAAAAGGCTTGATTTTTTTTTCTTTTTATTGACCATGACTGCAAGCCAGCACCAACACACCCACACACACACAGCCTCCACATGAAAAGAGAGTTCTTACTGAATGTGCAGTGTTTTCAGTTCGTTTGAAATGTGCTGGTTGAGATTTTTGAGAAATTAAATTTTAAACTGCATGCACATTAACTTACCTTCAGTAGGAAGGCAAAAAATAAAAACAAAATATTTTTAACATTAACTGATTTCGCTAGCAAAATGGACCATCGGGTGACGTGGGAGAAATATGTCAAATATGTCATTTTTGTGTAAGTTTTCATAGAATGAACTAGCTCTAAATGTGTTATTTTAGTATCTAAATTGCAGCAAACACATTTGCTATCAATATAAAATCACTATTAAATTTATGCTGATGATCTCTCCCACTTAACCCAGAAAAAAAACAGTGAAAATAAGTGCATTTGTTTTATCATTATCACACAGAAATTACATAAAAAAATTGTACTTTCTCTGCTTTTTTTTTTTTGCTTTTTTTACTTTTTGTTGTTGTACAGCTGAGAGTATACAGCTTTTATCAGTGCTCCTTTTGAGAATCTATTTTGCATCATTCCCCCTAAAGGAAAAGTTCATTTGACAGCAAATTCTGAAATTCGCTAGTGACAGCAACTGAACTATGCTTTTGTCTTCATTATTGTATGATGTCAGATGCTTAATGTCATCTCTTGACCTTACAGATATTAATGCTTGTAATAAATAATAAATAAGCCCCTAAGCTAACTACACTGCAGAATCCAGTGTTCATTCCTTTTGCCAGAAATCTGTAAGAATGTGAAAGTGAAAAGGGAAAAATCAATGTGTAGTCTACTCAGATTCTGTGTAAATCTTAATATTTAATAGAAATGCAGATGTGTCATGTAGAGATCCCAGAAAACCTGTAATGCTTACGATTGGCACTGGTTATTTTGCATTGCACCGCAGGTCAGTTAACCATATTGATACATTGACATCCAAACAGACCGATTCTGCCTCAGGACAATCAGATACTTTATCTCCTCTCTGCTCCCCTCTCAGCTGTTGGCACAGTGAGTCCACATCAAATATTTACAGCACTTCACTGCTGTTCTGCAGAGAATAAAACCCAAAATCATGTTGGCATAACAAAAGAGCTGCACATCAAGCAGGACGTGGATTGCTGATAAGGAAGAATAGGATGAGAAAAGAGGCTGTTGAGTGCATGTTTAACTGTTATCACTTCAATGAAGTGTGTTGCCCCTGAAAGAGCTCCTGCTTTGTTCTTTTCTGTTTGATTCCCATGAACCTCTTGAATGAAAAACTCAACATTTTTGCTTTTTATATGGCAAACATCTGGTGTTCAGGTGTGTGTGGTTGTGAGGTTCTGTTTGCTGAATAAGTGTTTTGCGAGTTGTTTACTTTTGTAGATAAATGCTGTAAGGAAGAGAACTTGATGGCCAGCGTGATGGATTTTGAAAACATGGTGCATTAATTTCACACGTCACTTGCAGCCTTTTGTTGCACATGAAGGACGAATTTGGAATGATTACAGGGAAGTAATTCAGCCATATCTAAAAAAAGGCACTTTATCATCAGCGCTGACAGGTGAATTTCAAGCTGTGATGGATGTCTGTAATGGACGACCTTTAAAACTCTCAAATGATTCTTGCACGCAATGATTCAGGTGCAGTGAGTTGTGTTAAAGATGCTTTTATTTAATATATAGGTGGATAAGACTTACTGTTCACCAGTGAATAGTCTCATCAGTCTTTTGACTCACCATTAGTGTGTTGCCTCCTTTTACCTGTAAATGAGAAAATTAGCTTGTCAAAATCTGGCAAGTGATATTATTTCAGAGCTCTGGAGGCAACATACCCTCAGCTCCTTGAGCTCCATTGCTAATCACATTAAATAACACCAGAGTGACTGCATCAACACAAAACCGTTACATATAATTATTAAAATATGTGCGTTTTTAGATCTGCTGTCTGTCTTTTTTCTAGAAGGATCTTCTAATTTGCTGTTTCACCTGTTTCTAAATGTTCTTGTCAAAATATACATAAAAATGATGCACTGGTTGGTCAAACTCTGGTTTAAGATTTAGAAACTAGCATAGAATCAGTAAAGAAATAATGTGAAATATTCTGCTGTTTTCCGTTTTGCTCCTTTGACATTTTAATAATAACAGCCTTTGTGTTCCACATTTAAAAATGGTCATAAGAGTTTTGAGTGACGTGAAGGGGAATATGATGACAATTTTCATTTTAAAGCAAAATTATCTGTGGAAGATGTGAATTGATTGGATGGGTCAAATTTAGACATGAATAGTCTCATCTCTTTTTCTTTACTTTTTTCTTTTTCATAATACTCTACTGAAAGTTTGGGAAATAATGTGCATATTTCCTAATATTAATATATTTTAATGAATATATTTTAAAATGTCATTTATTCTTCTGATGGCAAAGCTGAATTTTCAGCAGCCATTACTCCAGTCTTTGGTATCACACATCTTGGGAAATCATTCTGATATACTGGTTTGGTTCTCATAAAACATTTCTTATTATTATTATTATTAAGAAGACACAAATCAGTTGTGCTGCTCAATATTTTGGTGGAAAACATGATACATTATTTTCTGGATTCTTTAATGAATAGAACGTTCAAAACAACAGCATTTTTTAATAGAATTTTTTGTTATTGGTTTTTTTTTTTTGGTGTAAAATTATACATTTCTTTGCCGTCACTTTTGATTCGTTTAATGCATCCTTGCTGAATAAAAATATTAACTTCTTTCAAAAAAATATTAAAATTTTATTCTTTTTATGTAATTATTTTTCTTGTGTATAATTTGTTTTCTTTTTTGTCTACAGTAAACTTTCAGCTTGATTGCCAATTACCAAAGGTACAAATATTTTAATGGACGTTGCATTTAAAATTAACTTATTTCTCCCGCGAAACTCCCGTAATTTGCGTGGCCCAAACCTCGTTAAATGAATGATCACATCAATATATTATCCCGAGGTTGTCCAGTTGCCAGATCTTGTGTGAAACGCATCCTACTCACACAATCTATACATCATAAAAATTTCAACCCATTTGTGACCTCAACCTGGCAACCTAAAACCCAGTTGCGCTGTTGATATCTGTGCAGGTAGCAGATGTGGGAATCAAGCTAAATGGGAGGAGAAGACTCGGGTGGTGCTCCAGCGGGAAAAAAACAAACAAAACATACATGTAAATGTAACTTTAAAAAGTCTATGCATGACCTGGTGTTTTATTCGTATCTGAAATGAGGAGATGTGAACATTATGGAGCGCTAAACACTCTCATGCAGTGTATGTTTCATTCATACTCAGTTTGTATATGGTTTATGTGTGTTTTTCAAGTCATTTCCAGGTAATAAATAAAGTATCTGAATGATGCAGTGCTAACTGACATAGCATTTATTACAGTAGCCTATAGAAACTAAACATTATATTTTCTGCCTTATTCTGTGATAAAAATGTAAAAAAAAAATGTAGGATATAAACAAATCATAAAATTGACAATTAGGAAAAAATATTAAATGTTTTCATCGGTATATTTGATTTAGCCAATTAAAAGAAATAAGGAAAAAGTCTATCAATTAGAAGAAGAACCAACCCCCCCCCAATGTTGACAAATATGGGTATGATGCAGAATAAATCTTGATATCTTTCATTTCTCTCTCTCTCTATGGTTCTTTCCTGCTGCCCCTCGAATGTTGATTTCACTTCTTGGCCAACTGTGGTTTATCTCAAAGAGAATATCACACTCTGTATTTCTGAACTAGCAGTACTCATTATGATTAGCATTTTTCATTTCGCATCAAATGTTTCACTTTTTGCCACACTGTTTGATTAAAACAAAAAGAAATGCAAATTGAAAAACTGCTAAGACTTGCCTGTACTTTTCCTCTAGACTTACATTTACATACAAACCCACACAGCGGTCTTAGTAAGTCTTTAGGGGCATCTTGTGCATGAAATCAACTGCATCAGCTGTGGCGCAGTTCTCAAGAGTCTGACTTCTACAAAGTCTGTTTTCATGACTCAGATCAGCGCAGACAGATCATTAACCTGATCCAATGCAAAGTCTGAATGCAGAGCGTGAAGTAGATGAAGTCCCAGCAGGGTTCAGTCACCAAAACACACCCACAGAACCCCTTTCCCTCTCCCAACGGCAGCGGAGGACTCCAGAGAGTGGAGGT